TCCTTTGGAATATTCACAAAATCCTTACAACCAAAGAATCTCAAATGATCATACTTGACATTCTTTCCAAACCAAATTTTGTCTGGAACTTCACTGTTTAAAGCAACAGTAGGAGTGATATTAAGAACATGCACTGCTGTGCAAAGTGCCTTGCCCCAATAATGATTAGGCAACTTAGCTTTAGAAAGCATACACCTTACTCTCTCAATTAGTGTTCAATTCATCCTCTCTACTAAACCATTCAATTGAGGAGTTTTAGGAGGAGTTTTTTCATGTACAATACCATGTTATTTGTAATAGGAATCAAATGGTCCACAATACTCTCCATCATTATCTGAACGGACACATTTATGCTTCTTTCATGTCTGCCTCTCAACCAAAGCATGAAATTCTTTGAACTTTTCCAAAACTTGGTCTTTTGTCTTTAAGGCATAAACACATGATTTCTTGAAGCAATCATCAATAAAGGTAACAAAATAAAGTGCACCACTAAAGGATTTTACCTTTAATGGACCACAAACATCAGAGTGTACCAATTGAAGCAACTTTGACTTCTTTGAGGGAGGATGTCTCTTAAAAGATACTCTAGTCTGTTTACCATCCATGCAATGAGAACACTTCTCCAAATCTACATTCTTTAATCGAGGAAGAACATCATTTTTGGCCAAAACATTCAACATTTTTTCACTAATATGACTAAGTCTTCGGTGCCACAAAGATGCTTCCAAGTTGATAGCATTCACATTGTCCTTAGCAACCAAAGCTTTTGTCCAATACAATTTAGAAAGCTTTTCCCCTCTAGCCACAACTAAGTTATCTTTGTTGAGTTTCCACTTTCCAGAACCAAAGTGATTATCATAACCACAATCATCTAGCATATGCACAAAGATCAAATTAAAGCAGACATCTGGAGCATGTTTGACACCTCTAAGCAACAATTGCATTCCCATATTGATTTTCAAGCAAACATCACCAACACCAATTACCTTAGATACACCATCATTACCCATCTTCAACACTCCAAAATCAACATAATTATAAGATGTAAAGAAATCCTTATTTGGTGTAACATACAATGTAGCACCACTGTCAACTATCCATATGCTCTCGTCTGATACAAGATTAACAGACTCGTGATCACGAAGAATAACAAGATCACCACTAATAATAGTAGTAACATGATCATTACCATGATCTTCATGGTCTCTTTGTTTAGACTTACCTTTCTTGCCTTTGTTATCTCTTTTCACTAATAGCAATACTTATGTACGTGTCCTGTTTTGTGACAATAATGACACTTCAGATTCTTGTATCGCAGCTTGGACTTGCTTCTGCTATTCTCTCTACCACCTTTTGGTTCCTTTTTATGACTTGTCCCCCTTTTTCAGTGACAAGTACCTCAGGTTGAGATGAAAAACCCCGTGCCTTCCTTTTCATCTCCTCATTAAGAATACCACCCTTAGCCGTTTCCAAAGAAACAATATCTCTAGGAGCAAAACTTGTGATAGAAACCTGAAATGTCTCCTAAGACTCTGGTAAAGATAGCAATAAGAAATAGTCCCAAAAGTTCATCATCAAATTTGATACTCATTCCTAACATCTGATCAAGGAGACCTTGAAATTCACTCAAGTGATCTGAAATAGAAGTCCCCTCTTTATACTTCAAACTTATGAAGCTATTCAACAAGAACAATTTATTATTCTCTGATTTAGATGCATACAAGGACTATATCTTCTCCCACAAATTTTTTACACGTGTCTCATTAGCAATATGGTTATAAACATTATCTTCTAAATATTGTCGAATAAAACCACACACCTGTTGATGTTCAAACTCCCATTCTTCATCAGGCACAAAATTCGACTTTACGGAACTAAAAATCGGTAAATATAATTTCTTTACAAATAGTAAGTCTTTCATCTTGCACTTCCATAAATGATAATTAGAACCATTCAACAATATGATCTTCATCTTTGTATTTGACTTCATCTTTCAAACAAGTAAAATAGCCCTTAACCAAGAGCTCTGATACCACTCTGATGGGAAATTAAGACACAATAATAGACCAATACATACCGGATATAAAATTATCCGAACTCGTAGAAACCTTGAGGATCAACAACAAATATAAAACGACAAATCAAACAAATAAAGACACAAAAGAACACCGATATTTTTAACGTGGAAAACCCCTTAATATGAGATTAAAAACTACGATTTGTCCAGACCAAAGAAATAACTCCACTATAATCAATTAAAGGTACAAGAGAGACTTAAGTTGATTCATAAACTAGTGCTAACAATCGCAAATCACAAAGCAAACTAACTTACAAATAAGAATGAAAAAACTGAAAAAGTTTCCCAAATTTGCAGCTTCAGTGTGAAGCAAATAACTTTCCCCTCAGACGTTGTATTGAAATTCTAAACGGTCAAAAGTTAGATATATGTGTTACGAACTTATCTACCAAATTTGAGCTCGATCCAACGGTTAAAGGATCGGGGATCGTCGATTTAGTGAGACTGGTTGCAGAAAAACAAGAATGAGTTTCTCTCCTCTTTTCTCTATTTTGAATCCTTATTTTTTTCTCTATCTCTCTCAACCCTAAATTGACCCTCTTCACTTAAATAAATGAGACAAATGGGCTAATCATATTTGGATATTTCTTCACATAGGAAGGGAGCTAAAACCCAACAATTTGTAAGACTAAGGTATCACTATTACAATGAAGATGTAGTTGAATGATGTTTTGAATTAGTGATAAAAGGAAGTGAGACTCGACGCCACCTAGTGGTTCTTAGTTCTCGGTCATCTTTGGCTTAAAGTTCAAGATCTTTGAGTGATGTTATTTTCTTTTATAATGAAGTTTCTCATTGTAATATAAATGTTTATCCATGTAAGTTATTTTAACTTTTATTTAATGTCAAACACTTTGTAAAAATTATATTCTTGGTGTGCATTTGTTGGAATGTGTTGTCTAGGGGTTATGGTTCCTCCCGTGTTTGTTGTTTGATGTTCGTCTTTTTTATATTAGAGTTTTAATTGTTTTTAGTTGTTGTTGATGATTTTATTATGTTTTTATTATAATTTTTTTATTTATACTTTCGTTAAAATTTTAGTGCAAGGGATTAAAGGCCACATTGATGGAAAAATGAGGAAATGTTTGTATGTATAAGAGATGTGATTCATATATCTAATATATTAAAGTTTTGAATGGAAATATGATGTTAAATTCTTTTAGATGTATTGTCAAAACTAATTTTGATTGGGTTCGATCGGTTGTGAGTTTGAATTTTTTTCCAATTTCAAAAGATGAGAACGAGACGAATATTAAGTGTGTCAATACGCACTCCGAATTTGCTACATTTTGATGGTAGTTTAGAATGCATAACATCTTTGATTATGTGATTGTTTTGATTATAGCTTAAAATATTTGTTTGTGATTTATTATTTGTATAATGATTTGCTTCATATTATTTAAAATTTATGTTTAAATTTTTTCGAAGTGTTGGAAGTATATGTTATAGGTTGGTAACAAGTTATGAGTATGGAGAAAGATAATTTTTTTATATAAAAAAAATTACCACATAGATGGAGGCGGAGCAAAGATACCAAACCCCTTTAAATTTAAGTTTTAAAGTTCAATTATTCATTTGTATTAGAGATTAAAATAGAAAACAAAGATTAATTATAGAATATAATTTGAAAACAAAAAAGATAAAAACCGTCTCCGTTCCACGTCATTTCTACTCTCTATGTTCTCTACACTCTCCAACAGTGCAAAAATCAGTTGTACATGAAATCAGGTTTGCAGCTAACATGCTATTTTAAAATCTTTTGTGAAATGAAATGTTTGCTATGGTTGTAAACTGGTATTTGAAAGATCTTTTGAGAAACGAATGCACCTCATTGTTTGGTATAGTTGTAGGAGTCTTACTATACAGGTGAAATCTGTTTGTGGGACACGTGATCATGATCTGTAATGTGAGAGTCTGGAATCAAAAGAGTTGGTAATACCTACAAATTACTTCCACTAATGAAAATTTAAAGATGGGGACACATGTCCTTTTCTTTCCTTATATATATTTAACACCGAATAGTAACTAAACTTGACTTGTTTTAATCGATAGTTACAATACTCCCATTTTAAAAATATTATATCTAGCGTCATAAAGATATACACCTCCATGACTCTTGTCAGGTATAGATCTAGTAGTAAATTTTTCCGCATTTAACTACTAACCAACCGTTGCCATATTAGGATGAGTAGTTGTGATGCAAAATCGCATGCCAGTGTCTGCAAACTCATGAATGCATATTAATATCAGACCGTAAAAATCCAATGAATTCACCAAAGTCTGCGCTATACACACTTCACAATTAAGTAATGACCATTTACTGTCTTGTTCGGAGAACAAAGAGGACGGAGTATGTTCACATTTATTTTTAGTCACGGTCATCACAGACTCTACACATAGAAAGGATTGCATTTATGTTCTCAACTACAATCATGTGCTAATTACATACCTTCCTGACAAGGATGAAAAATTAGGTAACAACAGCCAATAACCAGGTTGAAGGCCAACGGATAATCAGAATCCGTAAAGGGTGTAAGACGGACTACTGCACATGACTTAATTTTGTCTGATAATTAAATAGAATTTCATAAAATATTTTTTACTGTAAACTGTGATTAAATAGTATCTCTACCGTCTTTCAAAAATTTAAAACAGCTCTGCTGATTAGAATATTGTTTATAAACAATAGAAAATCTGATAAAAAACAATATTGCGATGTATAAGACTGAGTGTATAAGACGTATTGGGAGTATCCGCGGTCATAGGATGAAATTCATTGCCAAATTGTGATGCTAAATATGAACAAATGATCAATTTAATAGATTAAAGTCTAAATTATTATTATGTAAATTTGACAAACTCTTACAATTTCAAGCATTAATAATATGAAATTCTATTATTTTCTAGAGAAACCATGTTACATTCACCCATTCCTCTCTTTGCTTTCCAACAAAAAATCAAAAGGAGGTTGAGTAAAGTTTCCTTGAAGAAACATGTCAGAAACAACTTTATACATGGCTTCTGTGAGATGAACACCGTCCCAATTAATATACTGAGTAGGATCAGTGCAAACGGTGGCATTAGGTGTACCACAAGTAGCAAACACACTGAAATTGTAAGGTGGATCCCCTGATCCACAACACACTCTGAACGTGTCTTTGAATCCATACTTGCTTGGATTCTGCATTACAGTTCGATACGCATTCATGTAATCAGCATAAACTATGACCGAATGTGGATATTGTTTTCTGAATTCTTGTAATCTGGATTGAAGTGCAAGGTTGTGGATGTTGCTTTGATCGTTCGCAGTTTTCACACATCCTATGTCGTCTCTGTCATCTTCGGGCGATAAATACATCGCCAATGGGAGACATCCGGTTGGTGGAAAACCCTGCACAACCATGTACTTGGCTCCCTTCTCTAACAATGTCTGCAAAACAAAGAATATACGAAATAAGTCAGTTCAGTTGGTAGCTGTCCAGAAAAATCCGTCAGGTTCGAACCACCTCAGTTGAATGAAATAGTAGTATATCTATTACCTTTAAAGCTCCCGTGACACTGGAAATTGCAAGCTTCCTTATGGTATCCTGGGAGATTGAAGATCCAAGAGTGTAAGCATAATCGTTAACACCGATCTCGCCAAACCAAAAAAGAGTGTCATCAAAGTCTTTGCACTTCGAATCAACGCCTTCACATCCTTGTCTATCCAAGTACCTATTAAACCACAGCATCTGAGTTTGAATAGACTGAGGAGTGATATCAAGAGTAAGATTGTTTGTAACAAAGAACTGATGGTTTATAGCAGTTGAACCAGCAACAGCAAAGTTAACACCAAAAGTATCATTTTCTTTGGTGCGACGCCAGTGACGATAAGGAGGAAGAAAAGGCATAGAAAGTGATTCTGTGACAAAATCAATAACAAGTCTTCCATCAGAGTATCTGTTTGTGGAATGGTTGAAGAAAGTTGTGCCGTATGGTGAGTTTGATACATGGCCAAAACCACTTGGACCTTCGGCGTTTTGGGTGTTGCCGGTGTCTGTGAAAGAGTCGCCAAAGGCGTATATTTTGTTGAAGGATCTTGAAGATTCTTCTGAATATGCTACTGAGAAAAGTAAGAAGAGTGTGTAAATTGTTGACAGAGAAAGAGCCATTTTGGAAAGGTTTTTGAAGAGTAGTTGGCAACTTCCTTTTGCATTGAGTTAGAAACTTATATATAGATACATGGAAATGAAAAACTTCTGATTAGTTGAGATTGTTAAACAAACAATTGCATGACTAATTAATGCTGTGTCTATTACTTTTAACAAAAATCTAATTTATCATACACTCCCCCATCACTTATTATAATGTAAAATTATCCACACCTAAAAAAATTTGAAAAATATTTAAAAAGATGATAAATAGTCTCATTAGCTTTAAGAGATTTTTTAAATGGTTGAATGAATTTTAGTCTAAGTATAAAAGGTGAGTTACACGAGTTTTTGACGATTCTATAAAGGCTCGCAAAGGTCACGCGAATGTAAAAAATGGTCAAAGTTACGCGGAATTTCAAAATTTAATAATACGATTAGTGTTTTATGTTTTTATCTCCTTTAATTAAAATAATTATTTTTAGGGTAATGTTAACTTGTGCCCCAAGGGCACATGTTAAGAACTAAATTAAGAAATATCATTTTGGAAATTGTATACAAATTTTAATTAAAATATAAAATTAATTTTTAAATTGTTTTTTCCAATACAAACTTACTAAAAGTGATTTTTTTAACATGTGCCCCAAGGGCACAAGTTAAGATTATCTTATTTTTATAAAAGCATGATCAAAAATAATAATGTGCATATGTAATGGAAAAATAAAAATATTGAGAGGAAAAAATTAAGACAAACATGAGACGTACATAAAATAACCCATTAAGACGAGTTAGAGTTAAATTTTGATAGAAGAATTAACTTTCCCTAAAATATTATTGTCCATTTCATTTTCGAAACTCACAATAAATTAAACAAATATATATTTTTTTCAATTTAATCATGTATTATCTGTGTACTTAACTTATGTGTTATTTAGTTTAGTAGCTCATAAAAAATATCAGCCGTTTATTTGATATATATTGGAGGATTTAAAGAACTCACAACTGTGAGATTGAGTTCTTTTATTTAATAAATTATTTGAATAAAAATAAAATCAAAATGGAGAGTTTTTTTTTCAAAGTTAAAATAAAAGAAAAGAAGAAGGTAAATGTAATCTTAAAAATATATTTCATATGCAATGTCCGCCACAATGATGATATTTAATTTTAAATTAAGAAATTGTGAATCTGAATATCAACGCTAATAAATGCATCAAGCTTTGTCATAAAACCAACACTTTGATTACCTTCATAAAAGACGAGGATATCTCGAAACATAATATTTTCAAGTAAAATGTCTTTAATATTTTAGATCAATACCGCATGTTTATGATACATATTTAAGAGAGTCTCAATGAGGATGATATTGAGGGGTGAGTCTCTATAGCAAGCTAAATTAGTAGTAATTCTTATATTTTTGATTAGTGAGAAACTTTTGTAAATGGCTCATAGTTATGCTTGTAAGATATCTTAATAGTTTGGGATGAATCTAGAGAAACTTGTCAAGTCTCAAATGAGGTAGGAAAGGTACCACCGAATCCAATACGAGTTGGTATGCTATTACAACTTTTATCTACATTAATAATAATGCAGATGTAATTCAGGGAGTTCTAGTTAATGGAAAGATTATCCATATGTCAGGTTTACTTAAGCAAATAAGAAAGGAGTCAGCCATGGAATGGGTAGCCAAGGAGAGTTGATACATGGGGATGGTTTCATGTGATAGGCATGTAAGAGTTACTCACTACGCCAAAAATAATTGTTGGCAGCACAAAAAGACAGCGCTTTCTATAAAAACGCTGCTAAAGATTTAAAAAAAAAAGAAAGGAAAAAAGCGCTGGCTCTAGAAAGCGCTTTCTTAAAAGCGCTGCTAAAGGTTGTTATTTTGCAATACAATAGAAAGCGCTGCTAAATGGGGAGATACGAAAGCGCTTTCTAAAAGCGCTGCTATAGGGGGGATACGAAAACGATTTCTAAAAGCGCTACTATAGGGGGGATAGGAAAGCGCTTTCTTAAAGTGCTGCTATATGGGAGATACGAAAGCGCTTTCTTAAAGCGCTGCTATATGGGAGATACAAAAGCGCTTTCTTAAAGTGCTGCTATAGGTCCTCGCTTAGGCAGACTTTAGAGAGCGCTTTCTTAAAGCGCTGTTAAAGGTGGGGGTTATGAAAGCGCTTTTAAGGAGAAAGCGCTGCTATAGGGGGTTTACAAAAGCGCTTTCAAAAGCGCTGCTATAGGTCTTTATTTTTTAAAAAAATAAAACAAACTTTTCATTTCAGACACAATATTCTTTCTTTCTCTCTCGTCGTGTATTCTTTCCCTCTCTCAAGACAAAACCCTACTCCCTTCGTTCGTCTCTCCGACCGCCATACTGCCTCCGTCGTACTCCCTCCGCCCGTCTGTCCGACGTTGTCTCCCTCCGTCGTACTCCCTCCGTCTGACAGTCGTATCCCTCAGTTTTACCGCCATATCCCTCCGTTTGTCCGATGGCAGGCCACTTCCACCATTTTCAAGGTAATATGTTAATGTGTTTTCTTTTGTGTTTAGAAACTTGAGTTGTAGTTTATGATGCAATTGTTACTGTTGTTTTTTTGTATGAGAGTGAAATTTGATCTTGTTTGTTGTGAGAAAGTTAGTTTGAGATGAGTTTCCAAGCTTGCTGTTCTGTTATTGACTGTGGAGGAAAATTATCAAAGAAAAACTTAATAGAAACTCTAGAGGTTATTATATAGTATTGCAAAAAAGAGCAAACCCTGGTAATTGAATCTAAAATATATATTAGAAAAATGTGAATGTCTCAAATTTCAAAAACTATCCACGTATATCAAAGCAAGGAGTAGTGATAAGTCTTTATGAATTTATAGTATGAAAAATGATATAACTAGTTGTTGAGATGAGAGTTTGTTAAGATCTTATGAATGTTTGTTTTATATTAAGTTTGAGATAAATCTTGTTATATTTTATTTGTATTTAATAGTCATGACAATACTAATAAGAATACAATTTCAATTTAAATTTTATATTACACTCTATAGCTATCTTTTAATTATTGAAAAATGATGGAAACTTGAATTAAGTAACGAGAATGTTGTTGTTGATGTTGTTAATGTTGATGTTGATGTTGTTGATGAAAACATGAATTAATTTTGTATGTTAATTTGTTATACGAGTTACTTGTGAAGAGTAAGATTGTGATCGTTTCCAAGAATCTTACTGTGTAGTTCTAGAAGCTGCTAACTTTTCTACAGTTGCTATAGGTAATCACTGTTGTTGTTTAACTTACTTAGTTTAGTTTAGCCTACTTAATTAGTATGGATAAAAAATGGATGTATTCCAATAGATTGTCAAAAGAGTACGAGAATGGGGTATCAAAATTTGTTAAGTCTGCTGTTGAACATGCCAAAAACCCCGGTAGGATCACATGTTCTTGCTTAGGTTGCTGTTATGGGCGTCGGATTGACGTGGTTCAGTTGGAATCGCATTTAAAGAGGCATAGAATTGATCAAAGTTATACATGTTGGACATTACATGGTGAGATAAGTAACGAGAATGTTGAACCGGAGGATAATACGGCCTATGCTAACAACGACAATGACACAGATACATACGACTATGATCGAGTCAAAGAGATTGCAGAAGCACTTGAAGAAGATCTTCAGGATTGTCCCAAAATGTTTGAGAGATTGGTAAGCGATGCAGAGAAACCGTTGTATAAAGGTTGCACTACTTTCACAAGATTGTCTGCAGTATTAAAGTTGTACAACTTAAAGGTGGACAATGAATGGTCGGATAAAAGTTTCATAGAGTTATTAGCCCTCATGAAAGAGATGCTTCCGGAGGATAATGTTCTTCCCAATCGAACCTATGAAGCCAAAAAAATGTCGTGCTCTATTGGCATGGGCTATGATAAGATACATGCTTGTCCAAATGATTGCATTTTGTTTCGAAATGAATATGCATCATTAAACGAGTGTCCTAAATGCGGTGTATCTCGGTATAAGAAAAAGTTGTCCCTAGCAAAAGTGTTATGGTATTTTCCTATAATTCTGAGATTTAAACGCATGTTTCATAGTGAAACAGATGCAAAACACTTGACTTGGCATGCAGATGATAGAATTATAGATGGAAAGTATCGACATCCGACAGATTCATCACAGTGGGTGAAAGTTGATAATGATTATCCTGATTTTGGAGGAGAAGCGAGAAACCTTCGCTTGGCATTATCTACTGATGGAATGAACCCGCGTGGTCTGCAAAGTATCTCACATTCCAAATGGTCTGTGATTATTATGATTTATAACCTACCTCCATGGCTATGTATGAAGCGTAAGTACATGATGTTATCTATGTTAATTTCTGGTCCTACACAACCAGGAAATGACATAGACATATACTTGATACCTTTAATCGAAGACTTAAAGAGTTTGTGGGAGAACGGTGTGGAGGTTTATGATGGATATAGGAAAGAAAGTTTCAATTTGAGGGCGATATTGTTTAGCACAATTAATGATTTTCCAGCATATAGAAATCTATTGGAGTATAGCATTAAAGCTCAATGTGCGTGTCCTATCTGTGAAGAAAACACAGATTGGACGTGATTGGAATTTGGTCAGAAGAATGTCTTTCTTGGTCATCATAGATTCTTAAATTCTAATCATCACTACCGTGGATGGAGAAAAGCGTTCAATGGAAATTCAAAACAAGGTAAAGCTCCACTTACATTGACAGGTGAACAAATTTTTAAAAAGGTGAAAGATGTGAGTACTAAGTTTGACAAGCATTTTGCTCATATGCTTGTCACCCGTGGGTGGAAGAAGAGGTCAATTTTTTTGAATTGCCGTATTGGAAGTCGTTGTATGTAAGACATTTTCTTGATGTTATGCATATTGAAAAAAAAATATTTGAAAGTGTTATTGGTACGTTACTCAATATACAAGGAAAATCTAAGGATGACCTTAAAGCAAGAAAGAACTTGGTAGCAATCGGAATAAGAAATCAATTAGGACTCTTGAAGAAAGGAAATC